AAATTTTGGAATAAGGGATAGAAGAAAAGGATGCATTTACATAATACAGATTTTCTTTAAGATATTTTGTTTCTACATATAGTCTATTTCTAGGAATTATTTGAAAATACTGTTTACTGAAATTAATACTATGTAAGAACTAAGTGCAATAAATGCTGATACAAATTATTCAACAAAGTTAGTGATTCAAAAGGGAAAATGTAATTTGGTTTGATACAAATATTATACCATTTCTAACAAAATTTGAAGTCAAACATAAAAACAACTTTAGATGCAAGAAAAAATTTTTAATTTTTTTAAAAAAAAATTGATTTAGGGAAGTAAAACTTATCTTTGATCTTGCTTACATGCACTTCTCATTAGCGAGACTTGGTTCACAAAGAACTGAAACTCTTCTTTGTCCTACATTATTACTTAACTTAAAATTTATTGTAGAACATATTGAAATAAAAGGAAGTTTATGCTAGATAGCAGTTAACAGTACATGGCTAAGTTCAACTGCTTACACAATTCCATGTGCCTACATATTTTTATATGCTGAGAATATGCATTTTTAAGGAATTAATTTAACATAGTCACAACTATGCTGATTGCTTAAAAAGCCACAAGATATCATAAAGCTTTTGTTATACATGAAATACATAAAAATTCCTTAAATTACAGATAACAGTATCTGGCAGGCATGATACAAAGAGGACCTACATTCTATTTCAACTTAATCATGATAAAGACAGGCAGTTATTTTCCAGACTCATCTAATATTTATTACAATATCAGTTTCTTCCCTTTAATTTCTTTCTTTAATACACTTCATGTTTTTCCGCAACAAAAAATGAACTGGGTAAATTGCTCTTCTGAAACCACACAATACTGAATCACACCATACAGTATCAAAAGATTTCCAAATTGAACTAAATAAGTGATTCAGGTTTTTAACTATTCATCATAAGTTTCTGATGAACAATATATTAATATTTATACAGATATTCTAAATTTTATGTTCTTTGGCTAATTTCATTTTGTAATTTTCTTATACTTTTATAATGACAATATCATGAATAGGGAAGGGGAGCTTTTACTTATTAAAGTACTTTTAAATACGCTAAAATTATGATTAATGTAGTATCATTGTTACTTAGTAATGTAACTTATATTAATGTAATACAAATACGAATAAAATAAGGAAGTTAAATACAAATATGGGCTGATTAAACATTTGCTTTACCTTCATAAAAATTTCTACAAATATCTACAGTTAATGAAGTCATATTTATATAACATTTAATTGAAAATCACTAGGATGGGAAATTGCATCAGCACAATTTAAGTTTTATGAGTTCAACACATTTCACTTTTTGTTGAAACATTTTCCTTGATCAACTCGGAGATGTGATGAAAAACCGTGAGAATTGGCATCTATGCTATTTCATTATGAATTTATAAATATTTTTGGAAATATTTTAGAGAAATAACCTATAAAAATGCTCAATAGTGGTTATTTCAAATTTACATGTATTGCAACAGAATAAATAAAAAAGAACATTTCTGAGAAAAGTTTTAATTATATAATTTCTTCATCACACGAGGCTATATATATTTTTATTTTAAATACAGGGTGGCAATACTGGCTATATTATTATGATAATTTTATAAAATGAAGGTTTAGCTAACCATCTATAATTTTTTGAAATCTTACTGCCCCAACAACACAACTTAATAAAATGGCACACACAGGGAGCAGCAGCACAGGCAGAATAGAAGAGATAGTGACATGTCCTACGAGCTAAGGCAGCAAAGGATATATGTTTTCATCCACAAAAGGCTTGTGTAAGGAAAAGACTGATTAAAAGTACTTGTGCATATGGTTCACAATTATCAGACTTACCATATTATCAAAGAAGTAGTCATGTTTGTAGCCAGAATAACTGAAGTCCTTTTGAAAAATAAAAATTTTATATATGTAGAAAAATGTGAATGTGAATTAGTGACATATTAGAATATTAACGTTATAACGTCATTCACACAGTAATAGAATCAGGGTAATTTTTTTCATTTTCTTTCTTTCCTTTTATTTATTATTACTTTCGAATTTGAGAAAATACTGATCTGATGCACATATTTAATAATATATTAGAAATTAAAGACTAGAAAGTCTCATAAAAACTTCAACTTTCACCCTCCCTTCTGATAGATTATGACTCAACATTAAAAGTTACACTAAATCTTATATTTAACTAGAGAGAACAGTTTTTTTTTTACAGAATATCATAACACATTTAAGAGAAAATGCCAATATTAGGATTCACATTTGAAAAAGAAAGCTGAAAGTTAACAAAAACTATGCAAATGAAAACTTTAGAATTTGTAACCATTTATAAATCATGTTTCATTTATTTTCTATAATAATATATCAAAATTTTATTCTTGTATGAATGCAAGTCTTAATGCTTATCTTGAATACTTAGAGTAACTGTAAAAAGATATCACCATCATACAGATTATGCAATAATAAATTATCTTCTTTAGCATGGCATTAAGATTATATTCAACAGAATTAAAAATTGCAATTAAAAGATTGAAAGCTAACCATGACCATTTTTGCTTTGTTTATCCTATTTTTCCTCTGCTTAAATTATTCTGCAAGCATCTTAGAATATTAGTAATCTACTGATAAATTTAACAGACCCAGGACACAAAAATAATAATATAAATTTAACCATGCAGATAAATTTAATATTTAATGCTTGGATAGTTTAAAAGAAATTATTTTTCAAAAAGAAAAAATAACATGAATACTCAAACTGAAAATCAGTCCAAAAATATCTTTGAAATTTCATCAGTCTCATTACCATATTCACTTGAAAATAAGACCTTTTTTCCCCCTACATATTTGGATTTAAAATTTGGTAGGATCTTATAATTGGGTACTTTAATAAAAGAAATTGTTAAATGTCAATAAAGTGTTTAATCATAAAACTGCACAGTACAATTACATTCTTTAATAATTATTATACTGCATAGTATAATTACATTCCTTAACTAAATAAACCACATAGGTAATTACTGTAAACTGTGTAACTACTGTTAATTAGAATAACAAATAAATAAATACAGCCGAGTGATTTCAGTTAAGCCCTGAATTTATTATATTGGTCACGGCATGCCTGAAAACAAATACGTAACAATGTGTCAAATAAGACTTTTCCCTACTTTTTCTCTCAATACCATGGAAAATATTGAATTTAATTAAGTAGCTTACCTTTCATTTTAATCAAGAACTAAACTATTCCAGAAACATGCTCTCATTAGATATTCACATACATTTTTTGTAAAATGTAAGAAGGGTCTTTTATATTCAAAAGGATCTTATTTTTGAGTAAATATGATATTCTTTATTGAAAGTGAGCAAATCTACAATCAATATGTGAGACAAATACAACATTCTTTATAAAGATTTATTAATATTCGTTTTCTTAAATTATTCATTTAAAACTAATTTCACATAGAGCAAAAAATACACAATAAATTTTTATTTAAAACAGCTGAATAATTTATTTATGGAAAACCACATGAATGAGTGGTTTTTTTTCTACTTCATTATGTAATTAATGTGTGCAAAGTTACATGATGGAATAAAAATAGAAAGATTAAAATAATTAATACAAATTAAGTGACAGAAATGTATTGAAATAATAAATATTTAGAAACAAAAGAGGAACAATATAATAAACAGAAATTCAACACCATAAATGAAATTTAACCACAGATGCCAATAAACAGAACATAGAAGAAAATTCAACAGCATATGTGAAATTTAACCACAGAATACCACATAGAAGAAAATTTAAAATCCTATTCTGCTTCTTTCTTAGAGGGAGTTACAAATGGAAATTTTGAAATTCAGCTCTATATTTGCCAAGTGTTTCAGTTTCATTGTCAAACCTTTGTACATATAAATTTCTATTTAGAGATATGATGGAACATTAGTCAGTTAAAATAAATTAATTAATTTTATGAGGAAGAAAACTCTCAATAATTCATCTTAAATAAATGCTTTTATATGGAATACAGAATTAAGTTAGAATAATATCTAATTTCTAACCTATTTCTGAATTATTAAGAATATGGGTAGAATAATATCCAACAGCAAATTATGATTCATATCCTCCCTCCCCAAATTTTACAGCCCTGCTAATGTTTGCATAATTAACAATACTTCCTTTACTTTGTACAAGGAAGTAAAAATTATACTACATACTAGATATACATCACAGCACAATGATATGCTGAAAGAGCTAATTCCTGTTCCAAAATCTCAAACCAATAGAGATCGTAAACCAACATGGCTAATTATCATACATGAATTTTATAAGATACTCAAAACAGCCTGACTAATTTACAGTTCACTGATACTAAAACTAATCTAAATTTGGAAAATTTAAGCTTTAAAGTACTGCTCAGATTTATATTATTTGCAATCGCATTTTGAGCTTGTAGTGACTTTTTTCACAAAATGTAGCAAAAGCTTTCAAACTCATCCAATTTATTTAACTACTGTTAACATATGTAATTTTCTAAATGTCTATAAAATTGACCTAGATATTATTAAAAAAAAAGGGGGGCATTTTTGTGTATTTTTACAAATTTTACATGTATACAGAATATTTAAAAATCTTTAAAGTTGTTTAAAAATTAAGTTATGATTTGATAATGCTCATAATAACAATAATAAATACATGTCAAAATGAGTCAAACACCTTAAGAAATGCCTTTTTTTGCGTGTGTAACTTATGCATCTCATTTACCTTCATAACTGCAGTTTTCCTTCAGCTTTTGCATTCCTTAAAACAGATACGAATTTTTTTTTAACGTGCTCTTTTCTGAATTAACACATTTAACAGCAAAACATTCTACTGATATTTTAAAATAATCATACTCTGCATAAACAGTATGAAGAGGAGAAAATAAAATTTAAAAAAAAAAAAAATTATTTTACTTACTGCTCCTGATGAGGATGGTGTACTAACTGAAGAAGTGGTTCTTGTTGTACAAGTAGAAGCAGTTTGTTGTAATACAGTGCTGACTACAGTATGAGGAGGCTAAAATTAATATAAAATGGATATATAGGCATTTCAACGAAGATGAACATACTATATGTAGATGATTTTCAGAAATAATTATCACAGCTGTTAATTACAATTTAGATCAGAAAACGTTAAAAAAAAATATGCATAAGATGATAAAAATAACATAAGTTTTAAACATTTAAGCTAAGAATATACATTTTAAAGCTATTTTAATTTTTTTTTTTTTTTTTTTTTTTTTTTTTTTTATATATATATATATATATATATCGGGGTTCGTACACATTTCTGCAAACAGAAATTAAGTACTTTTAAGGACCATGAATGAAAAAAATTAAGGACCTATGAGCAAATGGGAACCGAATAAATTCAAGTAAAAATATTATCTATGCCTGAATTTCACTTTTGTAATACCATCCTAAAAACAAAATAGATCCCTAAGTAGTATGCATTATTACTATACATGAATTAATTAACATAATTAATAATAAGTCTGAGAATAAAATACACTTTATGCAATTTATCAAGTAGCATTAAATATTTTCCACTTATAATAGTTGGACATATTTGAAAGAAGATAAGTGACATTAACATTTTACTAACAATTAGCTTTATGTTTATTTCATCCCCCCCCCCCATGTCTCATTTTGTCACATACTTGGTCAGTGTAGAGGTTTAGAAAAATAGCAGGTAGATTTTATGTCAAATGGCATAGATTAAAATGAGAAGTAAGATCATAATCAACATGATTCATAACAAAAGACTGAATATTGTCACTGCTGCTGCTTGTCTATAGAGAGAACTGCTGAATAGAACAAATCTGAAAGGTCTGATGTAGGCATGGTTGGCAAGTGTTGAAAGTTAGTCAGGCTCTATTTGATGCAATTAGTGTCATAGCTTCTTGTAGAGTTCCAGTTAATATACTTTAAGGTTTCAATAAGCCATTATGGATTTACATGGCCACTACTAAATTTCATTTTTAACAATATTTGTTTTTAACAAAGTCCTATTAAAATCAAAATCTAATAAAATTTCACAGTTTAAAATACATGTAATTTATAACATTAGCTATTATGCTAATTATGCATTAAAAGCTACAAAACATTTATGTTTTGTAAGGCTTCAAATTAAAATGATGGATAAATATTGTTAAGTGTTGTTGTTACAAAACATTTATGTTTTGTAACAACAACACTCCTCGCTTGTTTAGGCGTGCTTTAACTCCTATATAGTCAACCTCTCCATAATGTACCTATGATGGTTTACTTGATATGGTAAAAGTTAAATAGTCTAAAACCTCCAAAAGACGTGAAGCAAATTATTGCTTGCTATGTCTGAAAGTAACTACAATATCAGACAAAGGTTTAAATAAGCCTTTTATTTAAAAAGAACTTAGAACATAAAGGCATGTTCTGATGCTAACAAAATCAATTACAGTGGTGACATAGTATGGTGACATAATTGAACAAGAACAGTCAAATTCAAATTAAAAATGTGGAGTAGTGGTCAAAGATTGCACAATTTAATTTTAATTTAACCTGGCTCGGTAACTCTATCATATGAGGAAATAGAAGTGGGAAATTATAGTAAAGGCCCAAATCATAAACAATTAGGTAATTTACATAATAATAACTGCACATATCTTTAAAGAATAATTTTCTTTATATATTCAGTTGCTTTCTTCAACCTGTTTCCTTTTCATTTTAGAATTTTTAGATTTCATTAAGGATTTCTGTTATTCTAAAAATTAAATGCATTTAGAATGTGTAGAAAAAGTGGCCAATTTTATTTCTTTAATAATATGAACATTCAGAAGAAATATGAAATACATATGGCAAAGGCCGGTTACACAGTTGATGTGACAGAATTTTTAGAATTTAGTGACACACTGAGCAAAATCTAGAAATGGCAAAACTTTTAGAATTTAGAATCCACAGAGATTGCATCAGGAGGGAAAATGCCTAGTGCCAGCTATGTGTACGATACATTAAGTCATATTAGAAGAATCTTTTAAATTGTAAGTTTTCAATTTCTTTATTAATAAAACATTCCTATCTATAACGCCTGCCCATGTCATAAGATTAGAAGCCTTTTTGATATTTTCCATGCTTGTGTTTAGTGAAAAGTAGAGAAAATAATAAAGGTAAGGTAAACATGTTAAGATTCTAGTATCAGAAGTAAAACATTCAAATATGATGCTTTCATTGTTCTTCCAGACGCTCTCCAAAAAGTAAGAAATTCATTGCAAACTTTCTGCAAAATACATCCATTACGTTGATACCATGTAGACATTTTTCATTTTCTCACATATTCTAGAATCGTGGATCTATAAATCTTGCCTTCAAATCCTTCTAAACTTTCCAAGCTGCAATGTCTAAAATCCTAAAGAAAAATTATGCCTACCAATTCTGTAACAGCAAAATGCCAGAAATATTTTAGAAAAAAAAAAGGAGAGAAAAGTGTAAAATTAATTTTATAGAGAAAACTGATGGATATTCCGAGAATTTTTAATATTCTAAGACAAAAACTCTTACTATGAAAAAGTTAAAAAGAAGACATTTTTAACTAATTACATAGCTAATTTTGCTTTTGCTAAGAGCTGTTTAGTAAATTTTGCTTTATAGCACTATGCCTTGTTTATTTTTCAGATTAAAAATATTGTATAAGTTGCCAAAATGAAACTTTATAATATGACAGTGAAAAATATATTTTTTTAATTTTAGTGTTATTTTTTAAATATAATTTCAATATATTACCATTACTTTAATGAAATTTATCAATGTTACGATGTTTAAAAAAAAAAAATCATCGAAAAATTCTCAGATCTCGGAATTAAAAATTTTCTACAGAAACTGATCTTAAAATCATCAAAATATTGATAAGTTTAAAACATTTAACAGAAGAATTTACATCCCCAAAAGCGAAAAGTTGTTTAAGAGTTCTTTATGAGAAAAAATGAATTTCAAAATGCTTATATTTCACTTCTTGCTTAGAAACTTGAGTACCCCATATCATTTATATTAAAAATAGAAACAAATTATAACCCACGAGCCCATTCAAAAGATAACCGTATATGTCAGTGAATCGCCAAAAATATTCTTCCAAAATGATAATTCACACTCAAAATGGCACTTGTAAAAACAGACAGAAATTTCAGATGATTAAAATTAAGGACCTTCTTCTGATTTTGGCCAAAATTAAGGACTTTTAAGGCCCAACAATCAATTCAAATAAAAAAATCTAAGGACTTTTAAAGACCGTACAAACCCTGTATATTCAAATGGGATTTCACTAGTTTAACAATTTAAAAAAATTTTTCTTTTTTTGGCTGGTCCTCTTTATTTGAATAATAGACAATCATGGATATTTTTACATATCTTTATTTTAGGCATAATTCACAAGATAAAATGTAATAAGGAATACAGCAGAGTAATTTTTGCATCCATTATTCAATAATCAAATGCAGGCACACACAAGATAAGTAAGATCATGAAACACATTAAGATGATGAAGTTACCACATTTCTTACAGTTGATATAAAGTTGGTAAAGTTTTGGTTTGATTATAATTGAATAAAAAATTTCATACACATGTCACCAATATATAAGTATATGTATCACATTTATTATATAAATATCATATGATTATTTTTGAAATATTATTGAAATCATAAAAGATTAATTTTGAAAAGATGCACTTCAGAAAGATTTATTATAAGCATTTTACTATTTTTAAATTCAAATCAAAAATGGGAACTTCAGAGACTATTACAAATTAAAATAAAAATTTCATGTTACAAATTCATACACAGTACAGATAAAAGAGAAAGCAAAATTTTAGATATAAAATAAAGTATGTTATAAAATCATATTTCTAAATATTCAGTATCATACAACCCTTTAAGCACAACTAAAAGTAGTTATTTCTTTTATCAGTCTTGCTTAGTTTTTAATTTATCTAAATCAAGTATGCTTTTATTAGATAAACAGATACTTTTTATATGGTTTTATTTGCTGGCATTTTGTTTTTGAATCTAAAGTAATTTATCAAAATAAACATACATACATATTTTTAATTGATAGAAATATAGATTTTAAAACTTTTAAAATACAATCATTTTAAAAATTTAGTCTCGATTATAAGGTGTGTATATATAGCATCACAATAATTTTTATTGCCTGTTTGAAACTGTAAGTACTTATTGTACAATAAGCAAGCTTCCAAGATGGAAAATAATCAGACCAGTGGTCTTTTTAATATTTATTTTAAAACTTTTACCAAGTTTTACTTTGCTAAACTTTTACAAACTCAACTTTACTTTAACTTTTAAACTTTAAACTTTTACAAACTTAAGTCAAACATTTACAAGTTTATTTTTACCAAGTTTAACAAGTTACCAAAGTTTTAACCAAGATTTCTTGATTAAATAAGGAGTAAAAGATCAGCACTATTATAGAAAACACACAGCACCCCGTCGCATGATGCGACTTCCGCCTATGCCGTTTCTCAGACAAAAGCTTTTTTTTATTTTCATCCCAAGGAAACCACACGAGGGGTTGTCCTTAATAACTTTTTTCCCCTGGATCACTTTTTGGTGGACACTCGGGTTACATTCCCATAAGAGCAGAAAGTTCTGTAATATAAACCTGATGTTTCATCAAACCTGAGGATTGCTACATAATATTTTTGGCTATGTATTTAATCCCCATTTTCTTCCCATTATATTTAGATGGATATTTAATTTTGTATCTCAGTTTAATAGATTGAATTCCAGATGTAATTCATTTGAATATTTTACATTGTTTTACTTCTTTACATTAATTCACATGTATAGAATACTTCCGCAGCTAGTGCCCCCTTTTTACTTCCTTGTACGAAGTAAAAAGGAAGTATTGTAATCGCGAAAAGTTTCAGGCATCATATTTCAACGAAAATATCCATTTTGACCGCTATCGAATGCAATTTAACGATGTTTTTGCATGATATCTGTACGTAAGGACAGAATAAAAGACTCG